CCCCCTCTCCTCCGCCTCCTCCTCCTCCTCCTTCTTCTTCTTCTTCTTCTTCTTCTTCTTCTTCCCCCGCTCTGATCCCATGCGGGTGAGATGCGTCTACATTGGGCTCCCTTTGAAAAGGGTTTGGAAACTAATTGGTCCAAAATGCAGGGGCCAGGTTACTACCAGTGGTTAAGAACATAAGAACGTAAGTGAAGCCAATGCTGGATCAGGCCAATGGCCCATCCAGTCCAACACTCTGTCACACAGTGACCAAAAATACCAGGTGCCATCAGGAGGTCCACCAGTGGGGCCAGGACACTAGAAGCCCTCCCATTGTTGCCACCACCACCCCAAGCACCAAGAATACAGAGCATCACTTGCCCCAGCCTGAGAGTTCCTATCTATACCTTGTGGCTAATAGCCACCGATGGACATCCGTTCCATATGTTTATCTAATTCCCTCTTGAAGCCGTCCATGCTTGTAGCCACCACCTCCTCCTCTGGCAGTGAATTCCATGTGTTCATCACTGTTTGGCTGAAGAAGGACTTGGATAAAGGGATTGTATCATCCTACGCTGAAAGATCAGCACGGACTACTCATCTGTTCCTGGGCAGAATCCAAAGCGCTCTTGCTTACCTTTAAGGGCCTAAACGGCTTGGGGTCAGGGTACCCGAAGGACTTCCTCCGTTGGTTCTGTCCAGCCCATCAGTGAATCTCTTCTTCCCGAGCCCTGCTCTTCTGTGCCCCTGCTTTCAGTGCTGAAGCAGGTGGCAACTAAAGACAGGGCATTTCCAGTGGTGGCACCTCGCTTTTGGAATGCCCACCCTCTTGAGGCTTGCCTGGCACATCCCATAATATCCTTAGGCCTTATGGCAAAACAGTTGCTTTTACCCAGCTTTTAACTAAGGAGCCGCGGTGGCTCAAGTGGTTAAGACGCTGAACTGCAGGCTGTGGAAGGTCAGTAGTTCAGCAGTTCGAGACCCGGGTGCCACATGATGGAGTGAGCTCCCATCTCTAGTTCCAGCTCCTGCCAACCTAGCAGTTCGAAAGCAAGAAATTGCAAGTAGATAAATAGGTACCACTTTGGTGGGAAGGTAACAGCGTTCCGTGCCCCTTGGTGTTTAGTCATGCCGGCCACATGACCACGGAAACGTCTTCGGACAGCGCTGGCTCTTCGGCTTTGAAACGGAGATGAGCACCGCAACCCTAGAGTCGGATTCGACTGGCTTTCGAGCAAGGGAACCTTTACCTTTAACTAAGTTTCCCCATCCTTTTTAGCTATTTCATGATGAGAGTTCTGTTTTATGGATCGTTTTAGGCTTTTTTTATGCCTCCCCCCACAACCCCCGGAACTGGCCCTGAGTTCCTGCATAGCGTCAATCCTTCCTCTCTCTGCCAATCCAGAAAAAATGGACACATCACAAAAAGATTACA